CTATTTAGACTAGTGTAATCTATAATAGGGTTTGAATTTTCACCTCGATTTATGGACGGATTAAACAGTTTAAGGATTTATTGCATTTATAGACAGTCAACGCTCCATTTTGTAGAAAAAATCACGACCTAAAATGCCTTGGATCGAAAGATATGGACCTTGGATGGATTAGAGCTTAGGTTCGCCGGAGGATCGTCGCCGGCAAGCCTTTTGTGGTGGGATTTCACTTCGAGAGTGAAGAGGAGGTTCTCTGGAGCTCAAAAGAGTAGAGATTGTGCTCTGGGAAAGCTTGAGTGGAGAGTGAATAGGGTTTTTTTAGAAATGAGGCTTCATTTCAAGTCTTCACCCTATTCAAATGTCGTTGTCCATCATGAATAGCCGAGATAAACTAGAAGGCTTCCTAGGATGTAGCTACATGTCCAGGGGCAGTTAGGAGCAGGAATAATCAAGGACAATAGGATAGCCACGTGGAAAGCTCTCTTGGTCCCCACTTGAGCACATGGGAGGATTGAGAGCCATTGGATCCTAATCAAAGGGCTAGGAATAACCTTTAGAATGTTCCAAAAATTCTTTGAACAACAGGGATTGAAAGGGCTTGAAATAGATGCCATGCCATTAAGGATTTAGCTCATTTAATGGCTCCTTGACCATTTGTTGACTGGTTTGACCAATCAACTGGTCAAGTCTTGTTGAGGTGGCAGTTAAGTGGCACCAAGGAAAGATTAAAGTATTTTAGAAGAAGTATGTAGCCGTGGAGCTAGGGTTTGAAGGAATGTAAAAGATTTCAAATGGGTTTGACTAAGTTAAAATGGATTGACTTGCTCAATTTGACCATGGCTTAACTCCACATGAGCTAAGGTGTGTTCAAGGCATCTAATGAAGTGATTTTGATGAATCCTAAGCAATATGATTGGATTTGAAATTTATGAGCACATAGAAAGTAAGGTTTGACTGTTGATTGAAGCTTGACCAAGTCAAACTAAGGTGTGATTTGGCTTCAAATAAGTTTGAATGGATTTGATTTAAGTTTTGAGATGGGTTTGAGAGTTTGAATGGTTTAGATAGGTCAAATGGGTCAAATTGACCCATTTAAAGCCTTAAAGGGTACTTGGGTCAACCTAGGTTGACTTGGTCAACTAGGTTGACCCAGGGGGTGGAACAAGGCTCAACAAGTTTAATTATATATTCAAAAAATGTTGGAAGTGGTTCCAAGCAATTTAAAGTTCATTTGATTTGAAATGGGTATTTAAATTCCTAAGGGGTATTTTGGTCATTTTAACCCTTGGTCAACTGGGGGTCAAAATTGGTCCACCAAAGTGCAGTTTAAGGCTTAACAAATCATGATCAATGGTTTGGATGTGATTAGAAGGTTTGGAGAAGGCTCCAAGGTCAAGATCAACCAGGTGGCAGGTCTAGTGGCATAGGCTTTAAATATTTAAATGTTGTACAACCTTTAAATTTCAATTCAATTTCTGGGGTTAAAAATTCAGAACGAGCTCAAATTTGGAGGGTTTCCTCTAGAGTCATGTCCTATCAATATTTAATTGATAAACTCTGAATTAGAGGTCACTTAATTAGATTTTGAATTGTTTGAAAAATCCTTGGAAAAGGTTTTCAGGGCTTCGACCTTTAATCTTGGATTTGAGTCTGAATTGATCTAAGATTTAGGTAGATCCTAAGGTCTGATTTGGTCCTAATGACCTCATACAAAAATAAGGTCAACAAGGGCCTGTGGTTTAAACACAAAGCTATAAAAGCCTTCTTATCCAATGCTTTCATCCCTAGAGCTGCTAATGCTACAACTCTTGCTCTCATCCCTAATACAAGTCATGGAGCTCTTATTTCCATTTTTACCCAATCTCCCTTTGTAATCTCCCATAAAATTTTGGCTGCTCGACTAAAACACATCATGCCTAGTATTATAAAGGATAATCAATCTGGATTCATACCCAAGAGACTTTCCACGGACAATATCATTCTCATTAGGGAACTTCTATTTCATTCTAGGCATTTTTCTAGGATCAACATGATGTACACCAAACTAGATATATAAAAAAAAGCTTTTGACATTGTTTCAAGGGAATTTGTTAATTCTAGAATGGAACATAAAGGCTTCCCTAGTACCTTCATCCAATGTATTAAAACTTGTATTTCCGATGTCTGGTTCTCAATTTGCATTGATGGCTCCTTAGAATGTTTCTTCCCTTCCTCTACCGGCCTTATACAAGGTTGCCCTCTTAATCCCTATCTATTTTGTATAGCTATGGATGTTCTTTCCTGTTTGCTGGACAATAATTCACCAATTTGAAATTTTGAGGCTTTTTACTGGGAAGGTTACAGGGTTGATCATATGATGTATGCCGATAATCTTCTTATCTTTGGGAAAGCTGATATACAAAATTGTGTGGTCTTAAATCAAATACTTAACATTTTCTTTAAAGCATCGAGTCTCTACATTAACTTTCAAAAAAGCTCCTTAATACTTCCCCACAAATGTAACAATGCTAAACTCAATTTCTTTGCTCTTAATATTCATTCACCCTCTCTCTCTATCATTTATCTTGATATTCCTATCTCCCCCCTGCAATCCCAAGCTAGCAGATTTCTCCAATCTTATGGAAGCTATTACTCATAGGCTGTCGGGTTGGAAACTAAGTCTTTATCCTTTGCAAGTAGATTGCAATTCTTTCGTTTCACTATATGGAACAACATTGCATACTGGATAAGGGGATCTATCATACAAAATTAATTATTAAACAAATTGGGAAAACATGTGCTAAATTCCTAAATTTTGGAGATACCATTGTTAGGAAGCTTCATCTTATCTTCTAGAAGAATACTTGCAAACCTAGAGCTCATGGTGGATTGGGGATCCCCTCCATTCAAGCCTTGTCTTTTGGGTATAACTGTGCTCTAATTGGAATAATTTGTAATAACACCTCCCTCTCACAAAATGGACTATTTGCAGATATTGGTCGGCTTGGAAAGCCCCTACATCTAATGCCACCGCTTTTTAGAAGCAACTGTTTTTAACAACACTATCTTCTAAGGCTTGTTTCAGATTCAATATTTCTTCCTTTGCTCCCATTGCTTTATACTAGGACCACTGGATTGATGGGAAGCTTTTAGCCGACTTTGATAGGATGCTGCCGTTGATTAAATTTTTTTCCCCATTCTCTTCTCCAACTAGTTCCTTGCAACTTTTTTTTCCCCATTCTCTTCTCCAACCAGTTCCTTGCAACTTTCCAATTGTGCGGCAGTTTTTTGCAACCAAGGGAATGTGGGCTTCGTGAATGTAATTCTGTTTTCTTTCTGAGTCAATTTCTTCGGACACCTTGATCTTTCCATTTGCTTTTTTGGATCTTTGTATTTTTGTGTAATTTTCATTTACTCTTTCTGGAGAGTTTATGGCTCGCCTTCTTGTTTTTGGTACAAATTTTTACGCTAATTGTACTCTTACAATTCCACACTTGTAACTAATTTTTCTTAATGGAAACTGGGCTCGGCCCTTAAATTTCCAAAAAAAAAAAAAAACAACTTCATTTATATGAATTATTAATGTTTTAATATTCCATTTACACCAAAATAACTATAGTACACTCTGCAAGCAACGTCCTAAAAGATAAATGCAAAAGCTTCCACTGCAGATTTAAAACCTATAATAAAAAACAGATAAAACTGAATATATAAGGTCTACTTAAAACCAAAAGATATAAAGAAAAAAAATTTGTAATTACAAAAAAGTTATTCTGTAGTTCTAAACTATTTTATCTTTAAAATAAAAATTAAATTTAGAACTATAAACCCACATTCGGCTGAGTCAAATTAATTAAGCTATTATGATATCCAAAATTGAGTCAAATTAGTGAGTAATTGTTAACCGACTAGAACCCTTTAGACCATTTCCAAACGACTGAAGTCTATATCACCATATGTTGTCCGTCATTCGCTCCATTCAAACTTCAAATCATACGCCAAATTCCTGTAGGTAAACAGTGCGAGGCCACTATTGACGTCGGACTGTTCACCTACGCCAAAAAATCTGTTGTAGGATTTGCTAAAGAAGCGCGTGAAAAAGAGGAGCAAAAAGCGCCAAAGATGATTACCTTCGCAAGAAGCGCACGAAAGAAGAAGAAATGACTTTCGATTTGAGAGGAATTACTGCATTTTAAAGTTTACTGCATTTTGGAGTGGAAAATGGGTATTTTTTTGGTTGGTGATGCCCATATGATTTCGAATTCGCCAAATTAAAGCTGACTCAACTTATGTATCGAACAAATCACCTACGAGCTAATTCTAACTGAGCAAGAATGCTGAAACCACCCAAAGGGCTCTTGAAATCGTCTACTAACCGAGAAATATTCAAGTAAAAAATCGTCAATTATCCAAAAAAATTTGCAAACTGAGTAGAGGCACTTCAGGAGAATTCGTCGAATGAACTAATCCTTAGTCTGGAATTCTCCCATTTCTCGTTGAGATCTTCGGGCCTAACGAAGTATACACAAAATAAACTATGACACAGCTAGTCTATGCATTTTCGAAGTAATTTAATAATGATGTCAATTATTCAGCACCGACATTAGACCCATTATAATAGGCGGAAATTATTGGGTTCGGACAGCGTGCACAGCTTACTGTCCAGAGACCAATACGATGCAGCCATGTTATCCAGTACGGAGCAGTACTGAGCATTACCGAGCAGTATCGAGCTCTGTAATGCTCAATACCGAGTAGGGGGTGATGTGGCGCATTTTCATTGGGTTCTGAACGGCATAAGCGGCCCGAGCCCAATAATTTCCTCTTTATAGGAGATTAATGATCGGGACAAATGAATATCTCACAAATATGTGAAAAGAATCCTTAAAAAATGTTTCTCTTTCTAAATAGTATTCCCCAAATTAGGACCGGTACGCCCTCTTTACTCAAAGGGATTCAATAGGATTCTTTGTAAATCATTTCCGCAAAAGATTAATCAAAGACTTATCTTCTCTACTTACCTCTTTCACTATTTAAATTTAATTTATTCCTCTAGTAAGAACTTGATATTCTTTCATATACAACTTTAAATCCACAAAAAAATTAAATAAAAATCATTATACATTACATCAAAAGATGACAGAAAACACCAACCTTGATGCGCCTGAATATGCTCTCTTTTTACTCCGACTCTTGTAGGCCACCAAGCACCACCGATCCTACAAATAACCCAGCAGCTCCAACTCCAAGCAAGGCAGCGACAACCGCCTGTACTGCGACTAGTACGGCAGAATCATCCGGGATAAGAACAATCGCTGCCACCGCTGCGATGAGCAGCGGCAATGAGAAAGATGCCAGCGTGGATGGCGACGAACCGGCTGCTTTCTCCAGAAAGCTGAGAAGGCCCAGCTCCTCTGCTTTGGAGAAGAAACCAAGCTTCTCAATGGAAGAAAGGGTGAAACCTAACTGCTCCGCCTTCGAGAGGAGGCCAGCTTTCTCCACTCCGCTCAACACTTTCCTCTCCTCCAGCTTTTTGACCACGTCTACGCTCAGTTCCTCACTTCCCTCGCTGAAGATTCCCGCTCCGTACCACTCCTTTTTCCAGTTACCGTCGTATCTGTTGACCTAATTGGAAAACAGTGGAGAAACGATTAGGTTTTCGTGACGTTTTGGAAGGAAGAAAAAGAGGATAATATTTAACCTTCTTTTTAGTCGCCATGGCAAGGATCTCTACCGATTTTGTATGAGACACGGATAAACGATGACTAGAAGGGGGGGAGAACGCGGCGGTGGTGACGGAGGAGAGAGCCGTCGCCACCATTTCGAAAGTTTACGTAAAATGGAAATTAGCAGCCGCTGGGAGTCTGCCTCGGTATGTTGTATTTATTTAATTTATTAGGGAAATTTGTGAGGTTATACTTAAAGCATTGTTGAGAGGATAGAGTGTCATTTAATTTGGGCCACAGGGCATCATAACCTTATCCAAAATAGGTTAACCAGCAAATCGCATATAACTTTCTTAAAATATTGTTTTATAAATTAAATTTTGATAGAATATTTTAAAAGATTTATATTAATATCTAATTAATTTTAATATGATATTCATAATTTTTTGTATTATATATTATTGTTTAATATAATTGATACATCATGCAAAAATTATCTTGATCGGGCACGAATCTTGAGGCAAAAGCTAGTTGGAATCTTCAAAAATTCAATTTGAAAGCACCCGAACTCCGATTCCAGCGATCTTATA